ATGTGAGGATCTTCTAGATACTTGAAGGCAGCTATTTTATCATGGGGCAGCCAGGTGGCACAGTGGATACAGTACCAGGTCTGGAGTCAGGAAGACCTGAGTTCAAATCCAGACTCACACACTGTGTGACCCTGGGCAAGAAACAGGGTTACTTCTGTTTCCTCATCTGTAAAATGAGCTGGAGAAGGAAATGGCAAACCACTCCAGTATCTTTGCCAAGAAAACACCCAAGGGAGTCATGAAAAGTAGGACACCACTGAAAAAATGATTGAACAAAACAAAAAAAAATTGTTTCATCCCTCTTAAAGTTTCTTGTTTGGCTAAACATCCTCTGTTTCTTCAGCTGATCTTCATATAATTTGCACTTCCTGGTTTCTTCCTCAGCATCTTGCTTCTCACCTCTGGATATGTTCCCACTTGTCAATGTCATTCTTAAAACATGGTAGCCAAAGCCTAACTCAGTATTCTAAATGTTTATTGACTGGTCTATTGATTCTAAAGGTTATCTGACCAGGAAAGGCAGGACTACCACCTCGCTCATTCTGGACCCTATGCACCTCTTAATGTAGTTCAAGATAGGTTTAGCTGTTTTAGCTCTCATATCACACTGCTGATTTGTATTAGGTTTTCAGTCCACTGAACCCTGCCCCCTATTCAACTATATACACATGGACTCATGTATGTCAGTGAAAAAGAAATCAACTTCACAAGTATAAGCTGTTACATTTATCTCTATGAAATGTCTTATTAAATTCTGCCTATCATTTTATGCTGCTGAAATCTGTGAATCTTGTCATCCGATGTGTTAGCTAGCCCTCCTAGATTTGTATAATTTGCCAATTTAATAGGCATAACATTACTCATCAAAATTATTGATTTAAAAAATGTTGAACAGAATAGAGGCAAGGACATATCCTGAGGTATTCTGCTCAACTTGACATTAACACATTAATGAATGGGTATACCATACCATGCACAAAATAATCTTGATACAAGGTGGCATATAAATGTAAAGGAAAGATTTATTAAAATGCTGGGAAAAGATTGAGGAGAGAATGATTACTTCTGGAGGGGGAATGAGGAAAAGGAAACAGAAAAGATTCCATAGAATAAACCACACCTGAGATGGGTTTTGAGGAAGGGGAGGTTTTCAAAGAAGTTAAAAAGATTAGAATAGTAATTCCTGTCAAGCACGAACAAAGGCACATAGGAAAGAAAAGAATGTGACTAATGGTCTGCTTTGGCAGGAGCACAGAGTACTTGAAGTAGAATATAAGACATTACAAGAAAGGTGGATTAGAAACCAATTCCAGCGGGTCAACCGGCAGAGTTAATACCCTAAGAGTTATTAATGAATCGAAGGAGAATCTTGAAAGAAGCCCAAGAGAAAGAGAGAATGATAGATGACAAAGATTTAGTAGTATCAAAGATCTAGCTACGTGGAAGAGGATGAGAACTGAGGAATGACAATTGAATTTGACAATGAAGAGATAATTTAGAATCTTGGAGAGCTGCTTCAGTAAAGTGGTAGGAAAGTTAGCCAAATAGCAAGGATATGAGGAGTGAGTGGATGAGGAAGAAATGGAGGCAAACAAATGCGAACTACTATTTCTAGAACTTTGACAGTAAGAGGGAAGAGAGAGATAAGATGATTGCATGTTTCTGGGCTAAGGGGATCAAGGAAACAAAGAGAGTCTAAAAATAAATGATGACTAATGTATCAATTTCACAGAAGAGATAAAAAGGGGCAAAATTAACTTCAGCAAGGAGAAGAATATTTTTCCCCCTCTAAAATGGGAAGGGAAGAGAAAAGAATGGGTGTAGAGAGTCAGTAGAAGAAAATCAAGGGAGCATATTATATCAAATGACCAGCATCTCAGTAAAATAGGAGGCAAGGTCATTTGCTGAAAGTGAGGAAGTGAGTGAGTAGAGCTAGGGGCTTAAGGGAAGTAGAAGCTTTGGAAATAAAAGTAGATTTGATAAAAGATGAATGAAAGGAGTAGGAGCCCAAAACATTATGGCTTCTGTGTATAAGTCATATTTATTCTCATTTTGAAGGTAGAAAAATTTAGTCTAAAAATGAGAACTTATTAGAATAGATGTAAGATGTTTCTAATTTATGGTAAGAAGGGTTACTCTACTAAGATTATTGGTGATATTTTGATGATAAAATGGCAAAATACCTAAAAGGTCTTTGGAATGATTTTCTTCATATTTCTATCTTCTCCATTTGAATTTTAAGCCATTAAGGTTAAGAATTTTCTCTAAGAGTAACACACTGCCTTATTAGTTTTTTGGCACTTAAAAGTCATCTTAAAATCCACTAAGATAACCTGGAGATAATGGGGCATCAGTGAAGTTCAAAATATACTTTGAGAACATATAAAAAGTATATATGAAGAGCTACAACCATATATATAAAGCATATTTTTCTCCTTTGCAAGTACATGAGAATCTGTACAGCTTTTTTGTGTTTTATTTTGTTTTTGTAAATCAATGTTCCAAGAATTTCCTTAAAATATGGTTCAGTGTTTTATTCAAATTCCAATTAGGAACAGAAACCTTCTTTTTACAAATGTAGCAGCTTAATTTTTTTATTTTCATGCTAAAAAAGATATTTGGTAAAAGACAGAAATAACAATTTATCCCATAGAGTATATTCTTATTTCATTTCTCCTGTCATTTCCTGATGGATTTTCTGTTAAATGCCTGTATTTCAATTTCCGATACTAAATAGTTAAACCAAGATTATCTGCACAAGTGCCTGGCACAGAGTAGGCAAAATCAACACAACAAAAGGAAAGATTTGCTCACTTAACTGTTTAACTTACAATAAACTAACATGGCAATTTAGATTATTAAATCACAATTTGACACGTTAATTTTCAGCTTCAACTCCACCAAGTAATGGAGTAATCTTCTGGTCAGTTTTGACCAGGACACTGTGATCTAAGGGTAAAAGCTAATGTAATTTTAACCCAGTCACTGAGCCCTTCTTAAAAGAGTGGAATATCAATGAATTTCAAAATACACCTAGAGGTTTTAATTTTCTTTTCCTTTTAAATAAGTACAGTAAAATCTGTATAACTAACCTCCTTTTAAAAATCAATGTAGACAGAAGAGAGGGACAATAAAGTTTGTGCAGAAAGCTTTTTGGCTCTTCTTATGGCTTTCATCCTGACATGGATCATTCTTGGTGTTTTTTGTTTTAGTTTCTCAAAAAATAAAAAGCATGGTCATGAATTCATTTTCTCTGTCCCGAACAAATATGATATCAAGGAAAAATTTTAAAGGTAATTATGTAACATTTCAATTAACCATGCCATCTGCTTTTTCAAGAAAGTACGTATCCAAAATCTATACCTAATTGCAAATGCTCATGGAGATTCAAATTGAAACACACAAATAAAATGATTTCAAATGTTTGACCTTCACCATTTATGTGGCTACAAGTGATAGGATGATTTTTATTCAATTGCATAATTTTTTTGTACTTTGAAGGAATAAAATTGGTTCAATAAATTTATGCATCCATAAATAAACATTCAGAGCTTTCATGAAGCACATTTTTACATTAATTTCAAACACATTTTATTCTGACTAAGAATTCTTAGACTTGAAGGCATTAGACTGATTTTTATGGAATAGCTTTCCCTAAATAAAAAAAAATCATTAACTTCAAGAAGAGTAAGACTACATACAAATGCACAGGTAAAGAGGGAAATGAAAAATCAAGTTAGGGTCCTTTAGCCAGATCACACATACATCTATCTACCTATACATAGACATGCCTATTTTTTTTTCAGATAGGCTAGTAATTTCAGCACTTGTTTTTCTTCCTCCAGCCTCAGAATACCCAGATAGCTATGACTATGCACATGTCTTAATAAATAAACAAGCATTACCACAACAGAGTGCCTTCACTTAAATATTCTGTTCAACACAAAATTACACAGGATTGTGGAACCTTGTACTTTAGCCCATACTATAAACTCAATATTATGGACATTCTCTTAAAAATCACAAGTTTAGAATTTGACATATGCATGATGTGATTGATCACAGAATCACAGAATGGAATCATAGAATGGCAAGGACTTTAGAGATAGTCTAATCTAATCCCTTCACCAACAGATGCAGTTAACTAGGGTCAGAGAAGTAGGAGCAGAAGTCAGATCTCCTGACTTTCAGTTCAATGCTCTTTCTAGTTCCTCTTCACTAAAATGTTGTTCCTTAAACCAAAATCAAAGTCTAGGTACAATCCCTGCAAACCTCTTGCTTGAATTTGCAGACCTCCTTCAAAAGTCATATGAAGACATACAGGGCCACAGGAAATTACTGCATAGATGGTGCTTAGTAAGTTGCCTGTAGTACTAAACCACTAAGTTTAGAATGATTATATGGTAAATGTGGAGAGCTAAGCCAGATAACACAAATACAAAAGAAAATAAGATTGAGTAAACTTAATGATTACTTAAGTCCTTTCCCAACTTCTCCTTTCCCCAAAACACATTATGTAGGTAACTGTGGCTGAGGAGTTTGGAAATGTTTGGTATGTGCACACCTTAAGATTTTTTTTAAAGCATGTTTGATCTAATTTGCCTTCATTGTTCTAATGGAATGGATAAATGTTTGATCTACCACCATCCTTTAGTTTATATTTTCCTGAGAAGGTCTAAGAAACATCTTAAAAGTAATCAGGTCATAGTTTTATAGCCATTAAAGACCTTAGCAGCTAGCTACTCCAACCCGTTCATTTTACAGATGAGAAACACAGGCCCAAGGAGCTTATGCAATTTGCAAAGATTACATAGGACATAGGAGATGTGAGACTTGAATCCTTTCACTCTAAACTCAGGTGTCTTTCCCCAGCACCATACTGCTTCTCGTTATCAAAGGTTTGGATTCAAGTTATACTAAGCAAGTGCTAAAAAAAAAAAGTGGGTGAGAAAAAGATCATAATTGTCATAATAACATTATGTTGCTTCCTTTTTTCTTACCTTTTCCAGTCTAACAGCTCTTGAGGTACAGCTGAAACACAACAATTGACCATGAAGAGAACAAGTTCCGTTATTCTTTTTGTCCCTAAATGTTTGCAAGCCTTCCTTGAGTTGATTTTTTGCTAATAAAACAAAAATATAAAATTCAAATTATTCAGTATATTGCTCCTCTTTTTGTAACTGCCCACATAGAAATAGTTCTTGGTGTCTAATTTTGATTTGTTAGTTCTAGCAGCAGTGGGAAGTCCCAAGGGCAGGCTGGTGGGCGGTTTGGAGGGAAGTAACTGACAGAACTTAAGTCTAGCCACACAAAAGTATTTCTTCCTCTTTTTGGTGAAATGAAACTCATCTATGAAACTTATGTTTACTGAAATAGTTTATTGAAAAATATTGTGTAAGTATCTGTCAGCATCATTTCATCTAAAAAAGCATGAAGACAAATTATCAGGAAAACAAATATTTAAAAAAATGTATCATATCCAAGTCAGATAAGGTTAAATTCATCAATTCAAGATCCATTTGGCCCTCTCCCTGCTTCCAAATGGTGATGGGCTCGGTCCCTTGGAATCATAGTGGGGATACCCTCTAAGACCACGAAGGACCAGGGAGTGCAATTACAATCTTTCTGGTAAGATGAAAGATTACTAGGCTCTAATAAGTGACCCACCACTGTTTTCCAAGATCCTTCAGTCTTTCCAATGCATCCTGTTTCTGTGCCCTCCACACTTCTGTGTACTGCAGTCAGATTTTTCAACTTCAAGACTTCTAGGACTTCCCAACCTCCTTGCAGCTGAAACCTCCATAGATGATATTTTCCCGAATTTAAGTGAGTTGTCTTGCTTTTTCTATTTGTATCACCAATGCATAGCACACAATAAGACCTAGGCCAGAAGTCAAGCAGATTTGAATTCATATATGATCTCATACATATACTGGTCATGTTACCCTGAGCAAATCACTTAACCACGGCCTTCCCCAGTTCCCTCATCTGTAAAATGGAGATATTAATAGCACCTACTTGCCAGGGTTATTGTAAGGACAAAATGAGATATTTTAAAATCCTTGCAACTTTAAAGCATTATATAAATGCTTATTATTATTATTATTATTGTTATTATTATTATTATTATTATTAAATGCCTTTTCATTCATTCAATTCAACAGCCTCATATCTAAAATAATCAATCTCCACAAAATGTTAATTAACTTTCTAGGAAAGCATGCCTATATATAAAATGCCTACACAGAGAAATAGGGCCAATAGGTAGAATGATTCATTTCCTGATAGTCCAAAGTAGGGAAAAGAAAGTTTATAGAGATAAGCCTGTCTAGAAGTAGGCCAATCAGCAAGAACCAAATGTAGATGTAATTGTTATTTTGACAAGGTGTGGACTAGCTGCCTTTTGGGGGGAATTATATGACTTCTCAGCTCAGGAAGAAAGGAATTTATTATAGGAATAGAACTGAAAGGTGGAGTTTTTCTGTTTCCTCAGCAGTTTTTTAATTCCTCTAGAGAACAACTTGAGGAGAAAGGGTTGGAAAAAGTGGTGGCAGGAGCAGCAGCAGCAGCAGTAGTGGCAGTAGTGGCAGATGTTTTCTGGGAGACTGACTCTAAGCATTCCAGCAGCTTTTTTTTTTTTTCTCCCTGGCTCCCAGCTCAGTTTATTAAGAGAATCCAGTAGAGAGTAATTTAATTATGGCTACTCAGAGAAACAGATGGAATAATGAATTTACTCTACTCTCTTTTTTTATCTTTTCTGTCTTATTGCTACATTCAGTGGACAGCATGGTTCATTACTAAGTGTTCTCTGATGTTTTCAAATTGTATTTACTAGTTATTTTAAGTTTTAACTATGATTTACTAGATAAATATAAGGTAATTATATCCTAAATTGAAGTTTTTGTTATATAGAGTATAATGAGAAAGGGCTTGGGGGAAGATAGGAGAGAAACTTGTGGATAATTGGTTGTCAAATTCACTAGCTAAGAGAACATCCTTCCTGCTTAGCAATTGATAGATTGCCTGGAAGCTCAATGCATTTTATGGATTTTATTTATTTTAATTTATTTTCTATATTTTTAAGCTTTCTAAACTTTTCAGAGAAAGGAAACGATGGGGAACTGGGACTTTTGCCCTAGATCAGATGTGTCAAACATTCATTTAATGGCCACATGCAGCCAAACTGAGTCAATATTCAGTCTGTAGGGATCCCTATGTACAGTGTAATGGCCCATTTTTGAGTCTGACACAAATTCCCTACACTAGGGCCAATCACACTGGCTCTATGAAGACAGGTTGAGTTGTACCAAAAGCCTTTGGATTTCTCTAAACTCCTCCCTTTGTCCCAAATGAGAGATATGGAGGAGGGTGAAGACCTCAAAAGAAAGTCAGGCCCTGAGCCAGTCCCATTGGGCAAAGATAGGCATGATCAGTTCTAGCCACTTTCCTTGAATTTAAGTAAAATGAAAAGTGCTCCTCATCCAACCTGCCCTCCACTGTGACCTTTGCTGGGTATCAGAGACAAACATTGAATATCATTCAAAACCATTAGGAGTGTTAACTCAGACTTTAGGAAAGCAGAATAATTACCCTACCCAAGGACTACCTTCTTTTGAGTTCTTTCTGTTTAGTTTATCAAATTTGAAATTCTAAAAAATTCCTTCATATAGGTTTTAGATTGTACTTATCTTTCCTGCAGACAAATTATGAGGATTTATTACTAATACAATTCATTCCAAGTATGTTAACATTCCATTTAGTTATGAACGGTCCTTATTTGGACCATTCCAGATAATTGCCACATAATTTTTCTTCACCATTGAGGGTGATCATGTTGCTGTGTATTGACCAATGGTTTTGGTGAGGGAAACACAACAGCTTGTAAATATTTAGGAAAGAAATTAACAGGATATATTGGTATGGATTTGTTAGACTGGAGGCCATTTCTGTCCATTGAAAGTTTTGTTTTTATCTATTTAGGGCTTCGAGTACGTGTCAATTTTGGCCAAACTAGGAAATACAAATGTTACTTAATCTCAGTTGAGGTTTCACAACTAGCCACCAATCCTTTTACTCCTTCCTGATTGACTTATTACACTGCCCTGATTATTTGTTTCAAAATGCTTCTCAGGCCATCTCCACTGATCCCCTTTCCCCACCAGCTGACAATAACTTATTTGCCTCATGCTTTAGTAAGAAAATTGAATTCATCCATCATTGGCCTACTCTTTTCTCCCCAATTCTATACCTCAAATTCCCTCAATATTATCACTTGTTCTCTCCTCCTTTGAGGTAGAGATAACCCTTCTCTTTACCAATGCCATTACCTTTACTTATTCCCTTGACCTCATTCCCATTCATCTCCTTCAGGACATTGTTCCTTCAATCAATCCCTCTCAATCAATCTATATCTACTAGCTCCTTTGCTGCTGACTCCAAGCATATCCAGATTTCTTCCATGCTTTAAAAACCTTTAATTGACCCTACCATCTTCCTATTATTCTGTTGCTCTCTTTTCTTTCACAGCCAGTCTTCTATGGGGTGGGGTGGGGGGGGTCAAAGCTGTTACACTCATTGCCTCCACTTTCTCGCCTGACAATCAAACCCTTGCAGTATGGCTGCTGACATCATCAACCAAATAAAATGGCCCTCTCCAGAGTTGCCTGTAATCTCTTTTTTGCTAAGTCTAATAATTCTCCTATAACCTGACCACTGTGCAACATTTTGCACTACTCTCACTTCTTATATATTCTCATTTCCCTGGATTTTCGAAACACCCTTGGTACTCCTGCAATTACCTGTCTAAGCTACTTCTTAGTCTCTATAGTTCCTGATCTGTCCCCTAACCATAGGTATGTCCCAAGACTTTGTCCTATGACTTCTTTTCTTCTCTATCTAAACTTAATTTCTTAGTAATCTTATCAGCTTCTATGGATTTAATTATATCTCTTTGCAGATGACTACCAAGTTTATATATTCAGCCTTTCTCTGCCTCCTAAGCTCTGGTCCCTTGTCACCAACTGCCTGCTGGACACCTTGATGTCCTATAGGTATCACAAAACTCAACATATCCAAATTGGGCTCATTAGCTTTCTCCTGAAACCCTCTCTGCCTGACTTCCCTATTTCTGTCTAGGGTACTGTAATTCTTTCAGTCACCCAGATACATAACCTTGGAATCATTCCTTACTCTCATTTAATCCCTTTATATAATCAGTATATTATACCACCACAACTTCTCTCTCAACTAGCTTAATCAATCAACCAACAAGCATTTGTTAAGTACTATGTGTTAGGCACTACATTAGGCAATAGGAATACAAAGACAAAAATCAAACAGACCTTGCCCTTACCCTCAAGGAGCATCCTCTAACAGAAGACTATACATATACACATTACATATGTACATACACATATATGGACATATGTATATGCACATACCTATAATGTATGCGCATAAAAATGTAGGTACACGTACATGTATACTTATACATATATGCACACATGCACACGCACAAGATAATTTTTAGTGGGAGGAATTAACAACCAGAGGGATCAAGAAAGACTAGAAGTTCTTAACTTGGGTGTTCTTAATCTGGATTCCATTCATTGTTTTCAAGATTCTGATGACTATTTCAATATACTTGATTTCCTTTGTAATCTGATATATTTTATTTTATTTTATGTATTTAGAAATGTTACTCTGAGGAAGAATCCATAAGCTTCACCAGATTGCCAAAGAGGCTAGTCAATGCCACAAAAAAGTTAAGGACTCCCAATGTAACTGTAATGCATAAGCTGAGTCCAGACAGAAAGTGGGAATTCTATTAGATAGTAAGTAGAAGTTATATTCTAGGTGTGGGGGACAGTGGTACAATGGAAGATGAAGTATCATGTATGAGAAACAATAAGGTCAGTTTGGTTGGACCATAGAGTGCATGAAGGAGAACAAGTCTATTAAGACTGCAAGGGTAGGTAGAGGGCAAGTTGTAAAGGACTTTAAAAATGCCAAACTCATATTTGATGATGGAGATAATAGGGAACCCACTGGATTTTATTGAGCATGGGAGTAGTACCTTCAGACTTCTGCCTTAGGAAAATCACTTTGGCTGTTGAATGGAGGATGGATTAGAGCAGAATGAAACCTGAGGCAAGCATAATTAGGAAGCCATCAAAAAAATCTAGGCAAGAAGTGACAGAACCTTGAATTAGGGTGATGGCAGTGTGAGTAGAAAGAAAGCAT